TTAATTTCTTGGTGGCTGTAGAAAATTGATTAAGAAAAATTCCAAAATTTTCTTTCAAATAATTTTTATTTTCTCCAAGTCGTTTCAATCTCATATGAAACCATCTTCAGAGGTTGCATATTTATGCATATGTTATGCATTAACACCGACAATTCCATTTTTTTTTTTACTTCTTTGCAAAGGGAGGTAACTTATGTGATTTATTAAAAGATTGATGAACAAATTAGACGAACTATTGGGAATCTCTATCTATAAAAGGCAGGATATTTGTGTGTGTGTGTGTGTGTGTGTGTGTGTGTGTGTGTGTGTGTGTGTGTGTGTGTGTGTGTGTGTGTGTGTGTATAACGAATGCACGGCCGCAATTTTCGACGAATTTGTACATGCTCCAAGTTAGTGGGAAGGCCAAGACCGACTTTGCATTTCCCAACTTCAAACGATAGTGGAAATAATCGAGATTTTCATGCTTCTACGGCAGTTTTCATGTAGTTTGCGGCCATTTTCTATTGGCCAACGTGAGAGCCAACAGCTGACTGACACGAATGTTAACTAGCATGCAAAAAAAATCGATAGCTGCATTCGTCACAAGTGAGAAAAATTTAAATCTGCATGGCACTTTACTCCAATTGGCTCATTCACTTTTTTAAAATCAACGTTGATTCTGATTCCGCAGAACTGGGTTGGGTGTGAAAAGGTATTTGTTGTTAACATTCTTTTTTCATTCGGTTTTTCCAGTTACGAGTCGATTTTTAAAGTTGATCGTTTTGTGTTCATTTTGTTTAGTTCTTTTTTCGTAACAGATTTAATGTTTAGTATAGAGCTTAGAAAAATTTCGCAGTGTGAGATAGGCAAGAAGTAAGGCATGTAGCAACATCAGCACGGAAAAGGGCACTCCTTTAAAGGCAAGGGAGGGCAAAAATATTTTAAGTCAAGTGATAGCTATTGCTGTATGAGTCGTACGATATTTGAATCAAGCACGGGCAACGCCGGGCCATGCTGCTAGTATTAACATAAATATAAATGAAAATAAGTCCTCAAATAATTCTAAACACGTCAATCTAGCATAGAATGCCGTAATCAAATGCATACTAACTCTAAGCAGGAGGAAAATGTCTAAAAAATTTAAAAAGACAACACTAATAAATATTAGTAAATATTAGTAATATTTTAATATAAGTAAAAAAATAAAATTAATTATATACTGTACTAATACAACTAACTTAGCCATCCATTTGTTATTTGAAGCTAAAAAATATTTTTTACGTTTTAATAATTTGGGTAGGGGAGATTATAATGATTTTAGTGACACAAGTCTTACTAATTAATCCATAGCTGGTGGAGAAAAGGTGGTTTCATACCTAATCAGAAGAAATTATAAGTGAAATTATAATTAAGAAATAATAAAGTGGGGGATCAATTCGATATTAAGATGAATATATAAAACGATCCCTCATTTTGTGTTCAAGGTACTTTCTATACATTTATTTATATTTCAGAGAACGTGAATAAATCTAAATGTGTAGTTAATCAGTATTTAATTGATTGATTGATTTTTCTGCGGTTTATCAACACTTTGCAGGATATTTAAAGCCAGAAAATCTTTTTAGATCGTAATTTTTTTGAGATAATGATGGTTTCATGATACACGTCCTACTAATTAACCCATAGGTGGGGAGAGAAGAGTTGCATTTTTACCTTTCCTAAGGGTATTGGCCTGGAAGTGAATATGCCGAACCTCACCGGAACTGGATCTCGGCTCTACGATTAACAAAACAGTCTGTCAAGTCGTGATTGGGGATTGTTCAAGCTCCGATCGGCGATAATGAAATGTAACTAGTTTGTTTTTCGAGGTATTGAATATAAACAGTTTACGATGTTGCAGTTACATAGGCAGAGAGATCAGCTACCAATCTCTGATCATCAAGCGTTTTTGTTTGGTTTAGTTTGGTTTATTTTGTTTGACGTCATATCAACCTCAATGGGTTATTTAATGCCGACAAGACCTTAGGATAGATTCGTATGAATAGAATTTGTATTCTTTGGTTTAGATTTGTTTGGTTTATATTTTTATTGCTGGTAATATTTTGTTTTGTCAAAAATCTGTTTCTGGTAATATTTCTCTTCAAAATTGTATTGCTGGTAATAATTATTTCAAAAAAGTATTGCTGGTAATAGTTAACTATTTGCCCATAGCTGGGACCCTGACAGGTGCTACCACCCCGAGTCAGGATGGACATGGGAACACCAGTAATTAGGCGGTGGCTCCACGCTCCTCAAAACCTCCTGATCAGAGGCCTTGCTGCTGGACGTAGTTTATCATCTTACCCAGGACGCGGATGTAGTTTATCATCTACACCCAGGACGCGGATGTAGTTTAACATCTTACCCAGGACGCAAGAATTTTGGAGTTACCAGTAAAATTATACAGATGAAGATGACGCAGATAAATTACTCCAGTATTTTAGCAATTCTCTTGTGACTGTGGATATCGTGTCACTTTCGTATATAGTACTGATAATTTATTGCTCGCCTCGTTTCCACTCAATCCAAGTACACACTGCTTGGCCCAGAGATTGAACTCACATTTACTATGTCATGTAATTCACGAACCAAAGCTTTAATCCACTAGAAAGTGATGCATTTAGAACCTTGCATCTCACCTGACTGGTGGTGAGTATTGCAACAATGTTTCACACTAGACTGCACTCACGGAGGATTTCTCTTTTCTTACAGTTGCTTTTATTCTTGAAGACGTGCTGTCGACAGAATTTTCCCACGACACAATGATGAATTAAAACTGTGTACTTGAACTCAGTGTGTACTTGAACTCAGTGTGTACTTGGTCTCTAAGTACTTGGGGTCAGTGTTTATTTGGGGTCAGTGTGTATTTGGGCTCAATGGGTACTTGGACTCAGTGTGTACGTGGATTCAGTGTGTACTTGGTCTCAGTGTGTACTTGGTCTCTGGGTACTTGGGGTCAGTGTGTATTTGGGGTCAGTGTGTATTTGGGCTCAATAGATACTTAGACTCAGTGTGTACTTGGATTCAGTGTGTACTTGGTCTCAGTGTGTACTTGGTCTCTGGGTACTTGGGGTCAGTGTGTATTTGGGGTCAGTGTGTATTTGGGGTCAGTGTGTATTTGGGCTCAATGGGTACTTGGACTCAGTGTGTATATGGGATCAGTGTGTTGTTGGGCTCAGTGAATACTTGGATTTAATGTCTATTTGAGATCAGTGCGTAGTTCGGCCCAGTGAGTACTCAGTGTGTATTTGGGCTCACTGTGTGCTTGGAAACAGTGTGTATATGGAATCTGTGTGTAGTTGGGCTCAGTGAGTACATGGACTCATTGTGTATTTGGGCTAAGTGTATACTTGGAATCAGTGTGTATATGAGCTCAGTGTGTAGATGGGCTCAGGGAGTTCTTGGACTCAATGTGTATTTGGGCTCAGTGTTTCCTTGGATTCAGTGTGTATATGGGATCTGTGAATAGTTGGGCTCAGTGAGTACTTGGACTCATTGTGCATTTCGGCTCATTGTGCAATTGGAATCGGTGTGTATTTGGACTCAATCACGAGAGAAAAAGTAGCATTCATATCCGGACTATTTTCCTCGTCTTTGTTATTGTTATCACAACGTTTCGGCCGTTGTCTCCTCATCAGGGAAGTATAATTTGACTTAGGGGAAACTGGGTGAGCAATTACTGGGCAGTACTAAAGTAGGAAGTAAACGACGGTCAGTGGAACGAAAACAAGAAAGAGCTCAGTTCGTAATTCCCTGTAGGTTAACCACATTGACATACACCTGATCAAAGTCGAAGGACACAACAGTCGAAACGTTGTGATAACAACAACAAAAATGAGGAAAATAGTCCGCATCTATATATATATATATATATATATATATATATATATATATTAAACTGTTTTCTTTACTTATTTCAAAGCAAGAAGGAGCAAATAAAAAAAGAAAACATTCCTCGCAGTTATCAGTCCGTTCTTTCGAACGTCTTTCTTGTTCTAATTTATGCAAGTTTGGTATTTGCAGACTGGACCTGTTAGGAATCGATTTTTCAAGATTTTAACCTCGGAGCGACCATCTTGGAAGTGTCGGTGAATAAGAATAACTGATATCATAATAGGCGGGAAAGTTATTTCCTCATCTGTCTTCGGAGTTCGCGCTCCGGTGAACAGATCCGTCGCGAATGAAAACAAAAGAATAAAAAAAATAAATATGTCAATGATAAGAAAGATATTACAAGAAGCAAAAATCTGTTTGCAAAAGAAAGAAAGAAAGAAAGAAAGAAAGAAAGAAAGAAAGAAAGAAAGAAAGAAACGTGTCAAGATTAAAGAAAGAAAGAAAGAAAGAAAGAAAGAAACAAACAAACAAACAAACAAACAAACAAAGAACGAAGAAAGAAAGAAAAGGTGACAGGGTGAAAGAAAGAAAGAAAGAAAGAAAGAAAGAAAGAAAGAAAAAAGAAAGAAAGGAGACAAGTTTAAATAAAGAAAGAATGATAAAAAGTATTAAAGAAAGAAATGACAAAGATTAAAGAAAAGAAAGAAAGAAAGAAAGAAAGAAAGAAAGAAAGAAACGCGTCAAGATTAAAGAAAAAAAGAAAGAAAAGAAAGAAAAGAAAGAAAGAAAAGAAAAGAAAATTGGAACCATTAAAGAAAGAATCGACAAAGAAAGATAGAAAGAAAGAAACAAACAAACAAACAAAGAACGAAGAAAAGAAAGAAAAGAAAAGGGTGAAAGAAAAAAGAAAGAAAGAAAGAAAAAAAAGAAAGAAACGTCAAGATTAAAAGAAAGAAAGAAAGAAAGAAAAAAAAAGAAAGAAAATGTGGAAAATTGGTGGTTCATTAAAGAAAAAATGCGAAATGTAGAAAGATAGAAAAAAAAAACAACAAACAAACAAACAAAAGAAGAAAAAAAAGAAAAGGTGACAGGGGTGAAAGAAAGAAAGAAAGAAAGAAAGAAAGAAAGAAAAAAGAAAGGAGACAAGATTAAAGAAAGAAAGAAAGAAAGAAAAAGAAAGAAAGAAAGAAAGAAATTGGTACCATTAAAGAAAGAATGCGACATGTAGAAAGATAGAAAGAAAAAAAAACAAACAAACAAACAAAGAACGAAGAAAGAAAAGAAAAGGTGAAGAAAGAAAGAAAGAAAGAAAAAAAGAAAGAAAGAAAGAAAGAAAAGTCAAGATTAAAAGAAAGAAAGAAAGAAAAGAAAAGAAAGAAAGAAAGAAAGAAAATTGGTACCATTAAAGAAAGAATGCGACATGTAGAAAGATAGAAAGAAAGAAACAAACAAACAAACAAAGAACGAAGAAAGAAAGAAAAGGTGACAGGGTGAAAGAAAGAAAGAAAGAAAGAAAGAAAGAAAGAAAGAAACGCGTCAAGATTAAAGAAAGAAAGAAAGAAAGAAAAAGAAAGAAAGAAAGAAAGAAAATTGGTACCATTAAAGAAAGAATGCGACATGTAGAAAGATAGAAAGAAAAGAAAGAAACAAACAAACAAAGAACGAAGAAAGAAAAAGAAAAGGTGACAGGTGAAAGAAAGAAAAGAAAGAAAGAAAGAAAGAAAGAAAGAAAGAAAGAAACGCGTCAAGATTAAAGAAAGAAAGAAAGAAAGAAAAAGAAAGAAAGAAAGAAAGAAAATTGGTACCATTAAAGAAAAATGCGACATGTGAAAAGATAAAAGAAAGAAACAAACAAACAAACAAAGAACGAAGAAAGAAAGAAAAAGGTGAAAGGGTGAAAGAAAGAAAGAAAAAAGAAAGAAAGAAAAAAGAAAGAAACGCGTCAAGATTAAAGAAAGAAAGAAAGAAAGAAAAAAGAAAGAAAGAAAAGAAAAAAAATTGAAAAAAGAAAGAATGCGACATGTAGAAAGATAGAAAGAAAGAAACAAACAAACAAACAAAAGAACGAAAGAAAGAAAGAAAAGGTGACAGAAAGAAAAAGAAAGAAAGAAAGAAAGAAAGAAAGAAAGAAAGAAAGAAAGGAGACAAGATTAAAGAAAGAAAGAAAGAAAGAAAAAGAAAGAAAGAAAGAAAGAAAATTGGTACCATTAAAGAAAGAATGCGACATGTAGAAAGATAGAAAGAAAGAAACAAACAAACAAACAAAGAACGAAGAAAGAAAGAAAAGGTGACAGGGTGAAAGAAAGAAAGAAAAAAAAGAAAAGAAAGAAAGAAAGGAGACAAGATTAAAGAAAAAGAAAGAAAGAAAAAAAAGAAAAGAAAGAAAGAAAGAAAATTGGTACCATTAAAGAAAGAATTGAACGAAGAAAGAAAGAAAAGGTGACAGGGTGAAAGAAAGAAAAGAAAGAAAAGAAAGAAAGAAAGAAACGCGTCAAGATTAAAGAAAGAAAGAAAGAAAGAAAAAGAAAAGAAAGAAAGAAAATTGGTACCATTAAAGAAAAGAATGCGAAAGAAAGAAAAAGAAAGAAACAAACAAACAAACAAAGAACGAAAACGAAGAAAAGAAAAAAGGTGACAGGGTGAAAAAAAAGAAAGAAAGAAAGAAAGAAAGAAAAAAATTGAAACGCGTCAAGATTAAAGAAAGAAAGAAAGAAAAGAAAAGAAAAAAAAAAGAAAGAAAAAGAAAGAAAATTGGTACCATTAAAGAAAGAATGCGACATGTAGAAAGATAAAGAAAGAAAGAAACAAACAAACAAACAAAGAACGAAGAAAGAAAGAAAAGGTGACAAAAGAAAGAAAGAAAGAAAGAAAGAAAGAAAGAAAGAAAAGGAGACAAGAAAGAAAAGAAAGAAAAGAAAGATAAAAGTATTAAAAAAAAAAAAAATGTGACAAAATTAAAGAAAAGGACAGGGAGAAAAGAAAAGAAGGTTGGTAGCATTAAAGAAAGAAAAAAAAGAATGGTGGCATGATTAAAGAAAGAAAGGAGAAAAGAAAGATGGTAGGATAAAAGAAAGAAAGAAAGAAAGAAAGAAAGAAAGAAGAAAGAATTGGAAGGAAGGAAGGAAGGAAGGAAGGAATGAAGGAAGGAAGGAAGGAAGGAAGGAAGGAAGGAAGGATGAGAACATGAATCAAAGAAAGAAAGAAAGAAAGAAAGAAAGAAAGAAAGAAAGAAAGAAAGAAAAAGAAAAAATATATATCGGCGGAAAGAAAAGAATTTAAAAAAAACTTCGAATCACGCAGCTAATGAAATGGGGAAAAAAGGTAAATGTCAAAATAAAATCATTGAAAATAACAAAGAGAAGCGAAATCAAAATGGAAGACGGCTTGCTGGTCGACAGGTGTGTCTGGTTGTAGTAACACCAAATTGACAGACATTAATGGCGGCCGAACTAAGGCGTTAGAGATTTCCGTGCGTTATCAGGATATTACATCCGGGTACATAATCCAATACCTGCCTCCGGCTGCAGTGGTGTGACCCTCCCAAACGAGAATTGAAAGTGATAAAAAAAAAAAAATGGTCTGAGTGCCTGGGCGAATTTCATTCACACGCATGCGCACTATGAACGAGTATAGGACTTCCTTGAAGCGTGACCGGCAATGAAAAACGACTGCAGACATTTTCACACTATTGTTTAATTATTTCTCGAATCTTTCTGGTTTTCGATCTAATTATTTTCTCATCACGGGAGATAGATACAAGGACAGAAGGAAAGTTTAAGTTTACCCTGACAGCCTGTGCATATCTAGCTATCTCTCTCTTTTTCCCCTCTCTATATATATATGTATATGTATGCCTCCATGTGTGACTTTGTGTGTGCATGTGTGTATATACGTTCTTTGTTTTTGAATTTGTCGACTGCACAGTGTAGTAGGATTATTTGAGAACGGTCTGTGAGAAAAGGAACACTATGACGCATATTACTCTGCCAGAAATTTGGAAACAACTTACTGTACTGCTTGGCATCCGCACCGGAAACTTCAATACGAACATTTCAGAGTGTTTGGGTGTCAATCTGAGGACATAGGATTCGGATAGAGTTGGATGAGTCTAATGGTGATTAAGAATGCATGGCTGCTCGGAAAACACACTCTGATCGTTCTGAAAAGAAAAGAAGTCCCGAATTTGTTGGTGGTAGCCTACATAAGGTGCATTGAGGTAGTATTGCTGCCCTGGATCAAGAGGGTGGCTGCTGGAAGATCCTATGTCTAGGAACAAGACTCTGCGCCATGCCACACAAGCAAGAGAACACAGTCATGGCTGTCAGACAATTTCTGGGGCCAGATCATACCTTACATCTGACCACCTAACTCCCCAGACTGGAACCCCCTTGATTATTATGTGTGGGTCGCAGTTGAGCGAGAAACCAACAAAACTCCTTGTAACACCAAAGATAAACTGAAGGCAAGGATTATGTCAGCATTCATCAACTTGAACAAGATATGGCCCAAAAGAGTTGTAAGAGATTCCGGGGTCGTCTGGAGGCCGTGGATAAATTTACTCAATAATATTTCAAGATATTTTTGCCTAATTCTGGCAAATATATCTGTTAAAATGTGATGTCAGTATTATTTTCATTTTTTTTTTTTTGTAATTTCGACGACAATTTATCCATCGCAACTTGTATGTGTGTGTATATATATATATATATATATATATATATATATATATATGATATACATTGGGTCCACGAAGAATGATTTCAAAGATAGATGGAGGCAGTAAAGTGCTCTTTCAATAATATAAATAAAAGAAATCAGACTTCCCTATTTAAATATTTTTTGGCATCTGAAGGAAACAAATAGGACACCTAAAGTAAAATGGGAAATTATAAACAGGGCTAGAACATGTAAACTTGGGATGACCCATGCCCTTTGTGCTTCCATGAGAAATTGCACATTATTAAGCTTCTAAATAATAATAATTTATTAAACAATAGACATGAGTTAACGGTTTTTGTCGACACCATCAGATTCATGGTTTGAATAATTAGCTAAAACAAGCATACAATATAATAACTTTCTCATAATCCATATAGCCAAATAAATAGTTTAAATACCCGACAAAAAAGATAACCCTTTATGAAGTCGTCAAAAAACAAACGTTACGGCAGTTTTTTTATATGCACAAATCCCTTTCATATAAAACATAAAAAATAAAAGTAAATAAATCTCCATAGACACGCATACCAGACTAGGGTTAATACATCTTCCGTTTCAAATTTAGACACACCCACCTTTCCCTGACTTGACATCCATGAAAGTAACTCTATACTGATACTTATTATTAACACCCAACACTCGCCTACCCAATTTAAACAATTCGCCCTAGCTGTTACCATGGAAATTTTGATTTCAATTATTAAAACACGTAAATTTCAGAAATAAGTTATTCCAAAAAAATTTCGCTTGATAATGGAACAGAGCTTATTTTAACTCAATTTAATTCAAATAATTATATTGAAGTTTTCGGCTCTTGTTTTGAAACATGAGACCTCTTATGTCGCGAGTTGGAATCATATTTTTAAATAAATAATTATATATATATATATATATATATATGGTATTAAATTGTAATGTTTTTTGTCTTAAAGTACTCAATATCAATAGAGCGTTAATAGAATTAATGTAGAGAAAATTGTCACATAACTGAGTGGTGTTATTTCAGTCATGTCGACTTCAAAGTTTCTTGAGCACATTGTTATAATACCTTCACTCTTCAGGGCTATTGTCTTCACTGCTGCTACTTCTCAATTTTTTCGAATTTCTGTATAGTTTGGTAATTCGATATCGTTGTGTGAGTGTGGTTTTTTGACTTTAATAATGTATTATCTGTTTTTATCTTTGGATTTTTCTATTTCTTAACCGGTGTAAGGTTTTTTGGTGATTGTTTGTTTTGTATTGTGCTGACCTCTTTTGACCATGATTATCTATATACTCACTTAAGTTCTTTATGTAGGTTTTACAGCTTTTTATTGCGTTGAGCAGACCTTTTTTACCGTGTCAGGGTATATGGCCGCTTGGTTTTTTTTAATTTATTTTTTAGGTCATGGTTGGGTGTTTGTGCTTGTGTGTGTTTATGCTTCGGTGTTTTTTGTTGTGTATATGTTAGTTGTTAATATTTCCTGATATTTGGGTGTATGTATATCCCTTCGTGAGCTTGGAGTGCGTGTGTGTGTGTGTGTTTGTGTGTGTGTGTGTGTGTGTGTGTGTGTGTGTTTTTATTTTGTTTATTTGTTTTTTGTGTGAGTATTATGTTATCAAGTTGATCCATTTTTTTCTTTTTTCCTTGTCATCTGGCTTTTTGTTTTGATGTTGATTAGCTATTTATACGTGTGTGTTTACGTGTGTATATAGTAGGGTTGTGTTTGTAATGGGGTTATGTTTTGTGTTGTGTTTATTTGTTTCTGTAACAAAGTATTTATTTGAATGTCTACATTTTCCCATTATTTCGTTCTTCTTGTTTAATATTTTTCTTTGGTTTTTTAAAGGTAATTATTGCTAATTTTTCCTCCAGACATAGTTACAGATTCTGCTATAGCTACTGTGCGGGGTTACTCTTTTTATGATTTTCCACTTAATTCAAGTGGCGATGTTATTTTCTTTTTTGACTCCATACGTATGTTGATAGTATTACGTTGTTGTTATATCTTTCTGTTGTAAATGATGTTTGTGATTGTTAAATCTTTCTTTGAACGTTGTTTCTATGGCTCCTATATATTTTTTTTCATTTTTGTTAATGTTGTTTGCT